AAAAAAATGAACCATGTCAAGGAAATGCGATGGTCATGACAGCTTGCTCTCGGTTCACTGAAAACTTTGTTTCCACACAAACCCACGTGCTTTTTTCCCCACTCATTCACACTGTCAGTCGTCCATTCATTCATCCAAGCTTCAACCTTGGCTCATGATAGCCTTACAGTTACCTGTAATTAATGGCGCCACATGCAAACGATGTTCCGGGGATGGGAACAGGGAAAGTTATTGTTGGCGCAGGGATGATGATGATGATGATGAGGGCTGAACTTGAAAGGGCAAATCCTCAAAGTTCATGAATTATACATGTTTAGCATTTTCCGTGGCCGATGATGCAATGCTATGCATCATGCTCGTTAACTCAGCTCGTCCACCTAATTCCAAATCATGCACATTTAGTATTACACGGCATCTCAAATACAGTAATTTTTTAAACACCCCGCCAATTTTCAAAAATCTAACTAAGAGAAACTGTTTTCAAATCTCCGCGATTTGAATCGGTAGCGGTTGAGGAAATAACTTCGTACGATAACGACATTTCGATTGAAAACTGTTGAAAATATAGAGCAGAAAATTGATCATTCGAGTTTCGATTGACAAGCATCCCAACGTCATCCTAATAAACGAAAAGGCCTACTGTACATATTTTTCATTCGATTAACGCAGTTCATCAAGAAATAAACATTTAAAAAATGTGTACCGTATTTAAGGTTCGTGTATCTCTACGAAGCATGTTGCTCTTCAGGACTGTCGATATCACATCCGTGGCCAAGGTTGAAAAAATGTTATCTTCCATAGATGAGGAAATATTACAGTATTTTCAATTATTTTGAAAAGTTATCTCGTAAAATATTGCAGTTCTTATCCCGCACAGCGAAGGTTCTACTGTAGAGATATAAAATTGCAATTAAAAAAAACGGACGCGTGAAATCGATTTCACCTGGAAACACGTCTGAAAAAAAAAATATTATCTCGGCAATTACCCCTGAAATTGTATCCAGCAATTATCCTGGATGAAGAAAGTTCTATTGGAAAGAAAACATGAAACTCGAAATTTGAAAAGAATGCGACGGGCGCGTGAAATCAATTTCACGCGGAGAAAAGTTTGGAAAATATTTTTTTTTGTCGGCAGTAGAATGCGAAGATGCTATAGTCGTGATGATAAATGCCTTCACCTTCTTCTTCTTCCTCTTCTCCTCTTGCACCTACGCGACAAGCAATTCATTAAGCTTTTGACCGAGGATTTCTTTTCCTCACTCGATGTGTATGGACATGAGTGCGACCCGACGCGGCTGGGTCACGGCCAACGTCCGGTTACATCACCCACCGCGCGGGTCCACTCCCACCTCCGCAGTTCGGACAACTCATCGCAGTCGGACAAGTCGGAGGACTTATTATTCTAACGCCTTAGTGGAGCTACTTGTTAACCCCTGCTGCTGCTTGCGAAACCTCGGGTTCGACAC